AATGCCTAAATAAGATTTAAATCAATAAAAAATATCATTACTATTTGCCTGCAACCACCGCGTAATCTAAAGAGCTGTAAAAAAACATTTTTATGTTTTAGACAATCCTACGATGAAATCAAAACCTATTATTAACTTCAGTTAAAAAGCAGTAGTAAATGTTGCTTGAATAAATATTCAATTGGTATTTCTTCGAGCCAGAAAACTGCAGGAATAAAGAGCTTTCTAAAAGAAATCACGAGAAGATATTACAATATCTAAAACCAAATAAAAATAAAAATAGGCTTTTAATAAAATAATGAATAAATCGTCACGAGTAACACTATTTGAACAATTTATAAAACTTGAAAAATTTTTCTTCTATCTGAATAAGAATTAACAAACCTAAAGAAACTTGAAATAACTAAAGAAATTTGAAGTGTTTCATGTTTTATCAGCAATAATAGAAAAATACTTGGGCTTTTGATTTTTTTATTCTATTGTCTGAAATTTTGTAGCTTACATCCCCTAGATACGCCCCTTTTATTACAGAAATTACATATATATAAATAAATATATTAGTTTGCACAATGATAAATGGTTATCAGCAGATGCCAAGAAAAGTAAAAGCAGACGTCGAAAACTAGAATGTCGTCACACAAAAAGTGGCTTATTGGTAGACAAAAAACTCTATTGAAATGCATGTCGTGAGGCATCTGCAGCAATCAACAAGACTAGACGTACTTACTTTGAACAAAAGCTAAATTCAGCTCACCGTAATCAAAAAGAAATATGGAGGGCTGCTAAAAAATTACTTCACACAAACTCTAAAAATGTAAATGATAACAATATAATACCAGAGGAAAAGTGTGAAACAATAAATCAATATTTCATTAACAAACTTGAAAGTGTAAAGAATATAATCCAAGAAAAGCTGATTGCCCTCCCAAAATCATATAATGTTTTGGAGAGGGCAATTAGCTTTTCTTGTTTGCTGTTAAGTTGCTGCAGGAAACTATCACTCCCTGCAGCAACTTTAATGTCAATATTTGATACAGTTACACCTGAAGATGAAAATAATCAAAAATCTCAAACTCAAGACATCACCACTTAATTTTATTCCTACTGACATTCTAAAATCTCGTGCTGAAGTTTTTAGTCCTATTATTGCTCACCTAACTCACCGTTTCTATTTTTCATGTTTATGTCTCTTGCAAGTCGCATTATAGCTAAACTTAGATATAATCACCATCAATATGCTGATGATACTCAACTGTATACTGCCGTCAGACCAGGGATTGACCACATAAACAATATAGCTCAATGTGAAAAGTCACCACATGGTTTCTTAAGAATAGACTACTGCTTCATCCAAAAAAAAAACAGAAGGTATCTTATTTGGAACCAGTAATAAAACATTAAAATTTAAAGACGAAACCCAATTTTTATTCTTCGGTGCAATTCTTGCTGCATCAAATTTGGTAAAAATTCTTGGTATCACCTTAGATTCAACACTCTCTATGGACCAGCACATAAAGAATATTATAAAATTCTGCAACTACCATATTCGCTCACTTCGATACTTCTGGAACTTTTCGATACTTCTGGAGCTTTTCAACTACCACTTCGCGCATATTCGTTCATTTTTTTTTTTTTTTAATTTTACTTCACCTCCTCAAGGCCGAGAAGGCCACTACAGACGAGGAGGCTACTTATTTTGTGGCTATAACCCTCTCTCAACTCTATAACTCCGAAACACGAACCTTGAAGAACAAGGCCGCTGCGCGGAGAAACGAGTTGAGCGCGGTACTACCAGGGACGTGGTGGGGATCGAACTCGGAACCACTCGTTTATGAAGCGAGCGCTCTACCACTACACCACTACCGCAGTTAATTACATTTCTTACCAAAAGTGCAGCAAAAATAATTGCCTGTGGAATTGTAAACTCTCGACTTGATTACTGTAACAGTCTTCTATTTGGAACTTCTCAAAAAAATCTAAACAAATTTCAACGTATTCAAAATAAGTTAGCTCGTCTTGTTTTTCACTCTCCTATCCATTCGCAATCTGAAAATTTGCTTCAATCCCTCCATTGGTTACCAATACGTCAAAGAATAATTTACAAAATGTCTGTCATAATTTATAAAACTATATCAACCAAGTCTCCTGCATACCTTTTCGATCTCTTAAAAATTCAAACCTCCCAGCTCCCCAACACAAGATCGTCAGACAGTTGCCAACTTGTACGTCGTCGAGCAAGAACATCGCATGGTACAAAAGTAAAAGTAAAAAAGTAAGTAAAAAAACGCGTGATGTAACGTCTTTAGAAACATTAAAAAAAAACTGAAAACCGAACTTTCTAAAGCTGCTTACTTGACCTAAACAATGCTTGTTTATTTGTGCTTCTGAATCACTTCATCATATTTATGGTTGTTCACCAAATCATATATATGATGAAGTGATTCATCATATTTATGATCACCAAATTGCCATTATCACGATTTAAGACGTTTTCTTTAGATCATTGCACACGTTGTGTTTTAATGTCCTCACGAATTTTTCTTGTGTAGTTATTTGAAATAACAGACAGAGTTTTAGGGTTTTCCCAATTTATTTTACCATTACAAAGTTGTGTATGTTTTACTATTCGAGATGTATCCCAGATGCTTTTGTAACATTATCAAAATCTAGTTCAAGTTTTGCAGTCACATAGAAAAAGAGGAAATGTGTCTTCAGAAGGATTATTACAGAAAAAAAAAAAATGCGGATTATTCAAAGAGAAAAAAACACAAGCAAAAATTTCCAAGGAAGTTAAAATACTACGGAAAAATAAATAGGATTTAAAAGAAAAGTTTCCAAATTTGTTACATTCACAGAAGTCGATGTCACCAAGGTGACAGAAGGTGGTCACCAAACTTAGTTGTTAGTTACATCTACATGTCACGTGGAACTATTACAGGTCACATGATGACATTAATATTTTAACTCTAAAACTATTGCTTTTGGAAAGTAAACTTTTGCGGCATGGATTTAAAAAGTTTTTGATGGAATTGGAATTTAATGTAAAAATAATGGAGTTTTTGCCTAACTGCAAAAAAAGCACCACGTCCTGCACAGAATTTTCTGTTTGGAAATGGATGACGATCTAGATAATAGAGCTAATGAACATTGAGTATTATAACAAAGTTCATTGTAAATAGATTAGGACATGAGCGATTTCTTTTAATGTAGTTAGATACATACTGTATCTAACTACACCAAAATGTAATACAAACACCATATCGATGGCTAAACTCTAACACCACGTATCTCAAAATTTGGCTGTATTGAGTTAAATAGTGAATAAGAAACTATGGCCAAAAAGTAAAATCTTATTTTGATCAAATCAACATTTTAAATAAACAAACAAAAGAATTTAATAATTTTACGTTTTCTTTTTTTTTTATTTAAGTGGTTTTTTTGAATAATATCTTGTTTTTTGGCTCTTCTGAAAAGTTTTGATTTTTTAGATACGTAGTTTTGGAGTTTAGCCATCGATATACAAAATGTATTACTTAGTTTAGGGTGTGATTTTTTTTAGTTACTTGTTTTAGGGGGTTATACTTTAAAAAAGGTATTTCGTTTTATCGTTCTTACGTAAAGGTTCGTCAAAGTAATATGCAGGATTAAAAGGTTGTAAATCTGTAACTTTATTCAAAGACTTTTAAAAATAAAATGGCTTTTAATACCTACTATTGCGAATTCGAGAGTAGTGCTAAACATTTTTTGTGTAATTTTATTGAGTAACAGTTAGTCAAAATTTTCATCTAAAGTAATGCATAAAAATTTCATTGAGATTTGAATAGGTCTGTTCCTCTCATGTTTGTATACTTTGCCTATTGACTTAGTGAAATTTATCAAGGATGATTGTATATTCAAAGTTCGTAAAGATATAAAAAACTTAGCAATATGGTTGTAGATTAATAATTGTCCTTGAAATTAAATTTGAACTATGTATTTTCTAAGCTATCAACAGAGGCGATTTTAACGGTAATTTTTACGTGGGGGTGTGAGGGCTTTTACATACCCCCTCCCCCAAAGAAGGTGATTTTCAAGTTATAGTCAGTTTTTTCACGAGTTTAGTCAACTAGTTGGGTATTTGACACAATTCAGTTAAATTTTCATTTAGAGTATCTTTTTTTTTTGTTCGAAGCCAGTCGGTACATTTTGAGGATTCACGCCCCCTTTTCCTCATTCGTAGAATCGCCCTTGGCTATCAACACTACACTGGTGTTTATAATATCCAGTTTAAAATATCCAGTTTAGAAAACTTTTCATTACACCCTATAAGAATACATCATTTTAACTAACAGTCATTGCTGTGAATCAAAGAAACCTAAAAATGATATTATTATTATTATGATGATCACTTTCAACCTGAAGTTTTTTTGTTGTCATTAACAATATGATGAATATTGAACTGCTTACATGCAGATTTATTCTCATTAACACATCAGACATTGTGATTCTATACTTTATTGCAATCAACAATTTTTTTATAATAATCATTTAAAAAATGAATAGTTCCGTTAACAAGACTGACATCTACCCAATAAGTTTTAATATGTGGAAGTATTAGATTTAAATACATTATATGCAGTAAAAAATATTCGGTGATCTAAATAACAATTATTATGCTCGTATATTTTTTAAAAATTTATTTAAAGAGCAGTCTACTTAATAAGTAAAGTTTTCGATAAAACTTTTGCAGGAACATTTATGATATACGAAAAGTGTGGAAACGCTTGTAAGGCACTTAAGTAGCCATAACAATGAGTGCATTAGATATTGCTTTGAATATACAAAAACAGAATTATGCCAAATTATGAAAACATATTAATCAAACTAATGTGGAATTTTATAAGTAACTTTTAGGTTTTCATTCAAAATAAAAATTAAATCTTTATTGTCTTGTAGCGATTAATTTGTTGTTAATGTTCTTTGTGCAGTTTTTGATTAATTTGTTGCAAAACTTTGTTTAGCAAAATAAATAATCAACTTTAATTAATGGATGCTATAATACAATTGTTCCAAGAGCACGTTTCACCAGAAAAGCTCCAGAAGTATCGTTTGGAATGGGAAAATATCACCAGCACAATAGTAGTTGCACTTTCCAAACCAATTTTAGAAAAACCAGAATTAAAAAGCGTTTTTTCTCCAATAAACCAATCATCTTTTTCTAATATTGAATCCAATAATGCAAAAAACGTCACAATTTTACATGAAACAAACTTGCCAATGGTAACATTAAACAGTTCAAATCAAAATTTAGACAAATCTATTATTAATATAGAGGACAAAGCAGTTATAGAAACTGCTTTAAATGATTCATCTATCTCAAGCAAAGCATCATCTGAAATTGAAAAAGTTACTAAGTTGCAAGAAACTAAAGTGTCAACTGTTGATCCTGCATGTGTGAATGTTTCAACTCAAGATTTAAACGAATTATTTTTCAGCAATAAAGTTGAAATCATAGCTAGTGGTAGTAATGTTGAAGGTGCCAGCATGGCACGACTGTTTTTTGAAGACAGTCAAAGAGAGATAGAGTTAGACGTAATGTATCAGGTAGCACAAATTAATAGAATATGTTTAGAGCAGTGCAATAAAAGCAATCCTATGTTTGTTCATATTTTGTTGGAAATGGACCCAAATGTAATAAATGAATGTGCAAGGAGGTATGAGGAAGACTGTTCTAAATTTGTTGAATGCGATAATAAGAATTTCAAATCATATCTTTGCAGTGATGTTCTAAAATCTGAAGCAAAATTTTTCCTTAATTCCGTGTCTCCTGATTTTTTAAAACGCTTTGGAGGTTATGCACCTTGTACTGTTCATCCCGAATGGAACTCTAAAGATGCTGCCGGAACATTTAATATAGTATTTTCCAATGACCCTAAATTCACTGGTAAACGTGAAAGCAATCCTCAAGAAACTGTAAAACACGTTTTTAATGAAGTTGTTAATAGTTCTGCAGAGTTTGAGCAAAAAGCCAAAAGTATGTTAGAAACACTTATACGGATTCAACACAATTTTCTAGAATCAAGATTGACTGGAAAAACAAAAGTTGAACAAATAAGTTTAGCAACTGAATGGTCAAACCAATGTTTATTATTGACGGATACTTTGTGTGATCATCGCCAAGAAACTATAGCTTATACTCTTAGACAACTTATAGGGTATGAAACAAAGGAAATGACTGAGAGTATACGATTTCCTATCAAGAAAAAATTTGAAAACCATATATCAAAATTGAATAAATTTTTAGAAGAACCAAATTCAGATGAATCTGAACAAATATTGCGTGACTTTGAAACTGATGCGAAACTCCAACAATCTATTACCGGTTTTGACACGTTTCTAAGGGATGAATTATTTTTTATAAAAACTGTACGTTTTGCTCAGAAAGAAGAAGATTCTAATAATAACGTTAATGAATTGTTAATTTTTTCAGAAAAGTATGTATCAAAAATCTCAATTGATTTTGTTTTTTGTTTAAGATGTAATTTTTGGCCGGTAGTTGCTGCAGAGTGGCTTGAAAGAGAAAGACTCTGGCCGGAGCAAGCAACCATCAAAAATATAGTTACAAATGGGATACACGTTGTTTGTAAAGAACTTCAACATAGTGCTATTGACTGGCGACTATCATTCTCAGTTGCCGAGATAGAAATCGCTAAGCTATGGACAACCTGGCAACATTACATTTATTTTATTTTTAAAAGTCTGTTTTACAAATATCTTAAGCCTTTGTCAAACAAAGGTATCAAAGTTATAACGTCATATTTGGTTAAAACTGTTATGCTAAACGTTAGCGAAAGTTTCGAACAGTCACATTGGTGTAAAGAGAATGCTGGCGAGTGTCTGCATGTGTTGTTAATGACATTAATCTCTGCTTTCGAAAGTAAAATTTTACGACATCATTTTATACCCACGTTTAATTTACTTCACGGGGCGTCAAGTGATAAAGAAACAGAGCAAGTTTTAGATAAAGCTGCTGATATATTATGTTCGCTGCTAAAAAGCTCAGAAGACATACCTTCAAACTTATCAGCAACTTTCGAGATCATAGTAGAATTTCTAAAGGTTTTAGAAAGACAAACAGAAATGAAAACTCGAATAAACGATGAGTTATTGCCATTCATGAAGCAATTATGATTTCAATATGTGGATAAAGTACTTTTTTAAATGAACTTTTTTACCCAGAAAGCTTTTTGAGTTTGTATTAATTTGTTTACAACATGACTATTTTCTAAAGTTTTAAAATAGCTCTCAAGTATAATATTTTGCAAAAACATATTTTATCATATGAGCAAAAACCATATAGCTGATATGCGCATTTATTACCTTCGTATTATATTGCGACTTAATACATTATGTTATGAACATTATAATATTATAGTTTATTATTTTATGATATTGGCCATAAGTAAGTGAAGAAAATGTTAACGAACCATACAGTGTGGTATGCGGTCAAACGCGCATTGTTTAACACCTGTTTCATTATAATATTTTAATATGCTTATATAAGTTTTATAAGAGCGAGTTAACAAAAACATGATTTTTGACATATCGAAGTTGACGAGATTGATTCAAGGTCGGCGATTTTTAGGCTGATAACACTGAAAGCTTTTATTTTTTATCAGTGACTGATATATTTTGCAATATTATCTTTTTTTTTTTTTAGTTTTGAGCTGCCTAAGAGTACGTATCGTAAAATATTTCGGGTAATAAGTAAACCCAAAACTGCGTGTTGTACTTTCTTTAAACACAATCACATTATACTATTCAATTTTTTTGTTTAATCTTATGTTTTAAATAGTATCAGTAGATCAGAAACACTTTAATTTTTTAGATGAGTTATCATAAAAATATTGCAAAGAAACAGTTTAACACATTTAAGTTTAACTCTTATGATATGAATAAAAATGTTAATTTTTTTTTATTTTTTATAAGTAAATAAAAATTTTTTTTTTGACTATTACTTGAGGGTTCATAATGTGAAAATCGTAAAAGCGCATAAGAAAGGGAAGATTAAAACAAAAAAACAATGAATAATTGTCCTGATACTTTTAGATTTTAATGACAAAACCTCAAGATTTCTTTTGAGCTAAATGGCAAAAACATCAACATTTTTGACGACACCTGTACCACAAAAAACTTAATATAAAACAAACAAGGTGACGGAGTAAAAGTTGAATGGCAGGCTAGCAAATACGCTTACGTTTCGTACGATAAACTTATCGACGAGATAAAGGAGCAGCAAAAAAAAAATAATTCTACTTATATTACACGGCCTGATTTGTTGCATTTTCCGTAAAAAATTAAGAGGCCAGTTTTTTTTACGGCTCAAGTATAAAAACTTCATTTTTGTTATGGCTAAGAGTCTTGTTTGCACCATAGTTGTTTTATCTTTATTTTATTCAAATGGTTTAATAATAGTTAGATTTTCTTTAAGAACTTACATTATTTTGTGCTAAATTTTTTGATTGCCTGCTTCAGTTTATTGCAATAACAAAGAATACTGAAATAGGCTTTGAGATAGCTATATCAACACATACCAACATGCTACTAAAAATAATCTTACATATTGCTAAAACTACTCACAATTCTCCATTGGAAATAATTTTAAAGGTTTGTAATTTTGTATTTGATATAATTGCAATTAAATATTAAGTAGAAAACATAAACTTTTCTTTAAAATATTTACACTGCAAAACAAGGTTTTCCAATGTAAATACTTTATTATGCTGCATGTCTCAAACATACAGTAATTAAAATGCAACAAATCAGGCCATTTATTTACAATAGGCAACAAAATATCAGGCATACCAACTGTTTTGGAATCAATAGCTGTTAATAAATTTCTAATTTTTTTCATTGCCAAATAAATGCTTATCATATTTCTTTATTTAAATGGTTTCGCAGTGGTGAAAATTACAAACTTTGTTTTATTCTTTTATTTTCTAATAACGACTATTATATTTATATATAAATTTATTATTATATTTTTGTATTTGAAATTTTGTAACGAAATACTTATTTTACATGTAATAAAAAGAACGAAAAAAAAAAAAAATTGAATAGCTATAATATATTAGAAAAATCATTGACAAAAATTTGGTATTAAGAGATTATTTGATTCTTGTGGGTAAGATGTACTTCCAAAAAGCAGCCCATTATCAAAATGGTAAACGATTTAATGAAGATTGAGAAAATAATCTTTTTAAAGAAGTTTTTAAAGAAATTTTTTGTTTTGATTTTGTTATGATTGTAGGGCTTCAAAAATTTATTCTTATGTTTTGAAATCCTCATCTAAAGTTTGCATAACTGGTTTATGTTTGAAAAAAGAAATTGATGAGTATATTACCTCAATGCACCAATCTGAATTTAAGATAAGAGCTGTTGTTACCGATAACCATTCTACAAATGTTAATGCATTTTTGTAGTTTAATAAAGCATATACTGGAGATGGAAAAGTATTAATTTATCATTTAGTTTAGAAAAGGAGTGTTTAAAACATACTTGATATTCTCGGTTTTTGTTTTTTTCTTCTTGTTGAAGTTACTGCTGATTACATTACAGGGAATATATTTCTTAAAGTTTATTAAAAGATCAATTATTAAACAGACAAGAAAAAGCAATAAAATTTAACTATCAAGTCACATATTTTGGAAACAACAAACAAGTTGTCAACATTGACAATATTTGACGAAACAACTGCAGCTGTAATTTAGAGTTATTTTTCTGAAAGAAATAACGCAGCACAATTTTTATCATTGTTTTATAAGTTATTTATCATACTTAATTTAAAGCAGAAACTTGATTCATCCAATCAAACTCAGCAGTGTTGCTTTGAAAGGTGATAACAAACCCACACTTTATAGAGAAATTGCAAATTGTCTTTAAAGAGAAATTTTGCAAATTGTGCAAAATATTTCTTAGATGTCTTGATAAATACTACAGTCAGCTTTCTGAAGATAGCACAGATATATATTCTAAAGGCTTTAGTCTTTATAAAGTAACGTTTATTTATCATGGCATTTGCATTAAAATCTTTTTGTTAATTTTTACCATTATTACTTGCTTTAGTAAAGCAAGTAATAATGGTAAAAATTAACAAAAAGATTTTAATGTAAAACTTATTATCAATAAATGTTACTTTATAAAGAGAAGAACCTATATATTCAATTCAACCTCTGTCTAATTTTATTTGTCATCTTTTTAGTATTTTATGTTATTTCTTTAATAAAACATTGCAGTCATTCTTTTTCAATTAAAAATTTATGAAACAAATTTTAAAGATTTGATCTAACAGTTTTAATTGTACAAATAAAAAACACCAAAAATGGGGAATCAAATATAGATTTCGTATTGTTAACAATATTTTTCATGATAAAAAATTAAATATTCATTGAGAAAAGATCAAGTAAAAGAATTCCAACAAAGACAAAGACAAGATAAACATTTCTAACAAAAATTTCTTCTTTAATTTCAGTTATAAAAAATACAAAAGTACAAACCTTTTGTGTTTTTTAATGTGCTCATATTAGGACAAAAAAAAAATTCAAAAAAATTTTGAGAAACTTAAACTTTTTTTACTCAGCACAAAAACGGAGATTAAAGTTATTTGCCTCACAGAAACGTAATGTCACAATATTGAAATATTGTAGAGTAGTTTGGTATTGTGGTTTATCCTCCTCCGACTAGTTGCCATATAGAGGCCAAATTACCAAGGTACCGCAAAGACAGGTTCGGCTCCCCAAGGAGCGTCATAACCCGCTCTACGGACCAAGAGTAAAGTGAGTGTAGGAAGAACGAAGATATATTAGAGTGAAAGACAGAAGTAGTCGTGTTAGAAAGACAGCATAGAGAAAGCGGACAGGATTGCACTCGATGTTAGGAGGTGCAATAAGTTAAAACAGGGACTAAAAACACAGGGACTAAAAAGTTTCAGAATGTGTTTTTTTCCGTATTATAAATTATAAATATTGTAGAGTAGTTCATCAACTTAGAAACTTCGATAAGCCAGGTGGAGGAGTATGCATCTTTATCTACAACTCATTAATTTATAAACCGTGAAGTGATTACTGTACAGCAGGTAATGATTGGGAGCCATTGAAAATTGAAATATTTAGTAAAACTACCAAAAACGTAATTGTGCATATTTTATAAAGACCGCCCTCAGGTAATATGAAAATATTTGATAAACACATAAAAAATTTAATTACAAATAAAGATATTTATAATAAATGTGTTTACCTTGTGAGCGATTTGAATTTAAATGTATTAGAATATGACTCAAATAAAAACGTCAGAAATTTTCTCAATTTAGTATTTCAAAATGTATTTATTCCAACCATAAATAAACCAACTAAAATCAACAAAAATAGTGCAACCTCGATTGATCTAATTATAACAGACAAACTTACAGACACAAAAGTTAAAACTGTAATATTCTTATCCGATATATCGGATAAGATTTTCCAATTTTTATTGCAACTCAAAAATGTAATTTTTCAAAAAACTCGCAAAGAGTCAAAATAACTAAGCGAATCATTAATGACGTTTCTATTGAACTTTTTTTTCTTGATATTTTATTTTATTGGAGTATTTTTTAAACCAGTAATAGTAGTATTAATTGATTTAGTAGCAAAGTTTTGAGCGCAATCTATTTTAATGACAGAACTTTAATAAACTCCTTTTGAAAATTGAATTGCCAAATGGTTTTTCCAAAAATAAATAAGGTTCTTGGTAAATTAATAAAAACTCGCAAAAAGTGAAAATAACTAAGCGAATCAAATGACGTTTTTGTCGAACTTTTTAATCAATCTTTATCTTCTGAAAACTGGGAAAATATTTTACAAATAAAAAGCTCTAACAAAGCTTATGGCAATTTTCTTCAAGTATTTTAAAAACATTACAATAATGCATTTCCAGAGATAAAAAAAATTATTAAATCTAAAATCTATTTGAACCCATGGATAACTACCGGAATATTAAAATCATCAAAAAAGAAACAACGCACAGTGGAGTATTTGACCGAAAAAGTCGATCAAAAATATTTCATTAAAGTTACCGCAGCAACAAAAAAATCTTTAAAGTTTCTAGAAATATTTTTTATATTAAATAGAGGGCTTGGATATTGCCAAAAAACGTTTTGATCTCAGCGCAAGACTCAGCAGCATGAACTCCAGCTAAATTTAAACTATGAGCACCGCAAGGAATGTATAAAGCGAACGGATTTTTTTCCAATAAATGAGCTTGGGCTCCATTATAGATTCCAGCCATATTAGAACAATTGTCGTATCCTTGGCCTCTCAATTTTTGTAAATCGAGATTCACTTTCGCTAAAACGTTGCGAATTAAATAAGCAATATCTGCATCTTTCTTTTTCTCCATATCTTCAACGCAGAGAAATCGTTCTTTAACTTCCCAAATCATCTTACCCGAGTTGAATCGCACAAATCGAAGAATAAACGTGATTTGTTCGGTGTGAGATACATCTGGGGTCCTATCGGTAATTATCGTAAAATATACGGCATCTTTTACTTCTTTCACAACTGCTGCTTGAACTAATGTAGCGCATTCACTGATGAATTCGTTTTGTGATTGCCAGGAGAGATAGTGAGCTTGCATTCTGGTTCCTTTATTTTGATGACGAACAACTGTTTTAAGATAATTCTTTAATGTTTCATTGTGACGAGAAATATGTTCAAGGCAACTTAAAAAGTTCCCTTTCTCGTTCTTCTCCATCGACGAATATTGCCCTAAAACAATGTTTTCTAAGTTAGTTAAATGTAGATAATAGAAATTCAGTAATACTAAAAATAAGAACTTATTCTTAAGTATTTAGAGTTCTGGCCTAGAATATTTACCTCTAAAGGATAAGTTTTGAGATGTTAAAAATAAAATTGCATCTAAAATACAACGAAGTATTTCACGCCATCTAGCTACTTCCTTTTCTAGTGCCTTTTGGAACTCTGAGTCGATCCCGCGCTGATTGACAAGAGCTGAGTGCAAAGTCTTCCAATTGAGATAATGACTTTGATGAACTGGGTTGCTATGATGACTTTTGATACGATCACTCAATTTTCTCCAGTCATTTTTTATTCCTCCATTCCAGCAAAGAAGAAGAGATCGATCCCCATAGGATCCGGAATTTTCACACCCAAATAAAGAACACGGGAAACAAATTAGAGAGTTAGACAATGGGCTCCATATCAGATAATCTCGTTGAACTTTTTCTCCATTAGTCAATGCAATGAAAAGAACTTCTTTTGGAAAGACCCTATTATTAGAAGCATCTCGTGGGAAATCATCAGGTAAAGTTGACGGACCTTTTTTGATTAACTCTTTTTTTTCTCTTTGCTTAAGAATCGATGGCCAGAGTGCTGGGTCATTTTCAACGCCTGAATTTAAAAAAATTAATCAAAACCTAATACTTAATTAATTATTTAACTATTTTGAATTATTGTTTGTATAAAAACCTTTATTTTCTTCGGGTTTTAATTCATCGTTAAAACTGTCGTCTGTTTCATTTTCCACTGAACCAAGAGAATGTAGATCAACATCATCATAATACGATGATTCCATTGTTTGTTCTGATTTATTTAATTCCGCCGACTTAAAAAATGTTTAATTATTTTTCTTAAATTGCTTCGGAAATGAAAGAAATATATTTATTGACCTATATATTTCTACTAACTCACCTTCAAATCAGTATTTTGATTAGTAGCTTTGTAAAACCAACCTAATTCTTGGAGCGTTTGTTTATTTTTTTCACAGTCTTTTGCCCTTTTGGAAGCCAATACCCGATTTTGGGCACCAGAAAGTTTTTTACGATTCATTATCAACAGTTACTCTAAATAACAGTACGCATCAATAAAATAATAGTCAAGTCAAATACGCAATTTTAATTTAATAGCGTATAGAATACGAAATCCATGATAGGTTCGTATTTTTATTAAACTTTTCGTTGTCCTTTTTGCTTTGATTATATAAATTATTGCTAAAAAGGTGTCTTTTTTTTCCAACAGTTATCAATGAGTTTGTGATTTACTCAATAGCTTTATTTTTTTTTTAAGTTGATTAAGGAGCCCCAAGAAGTCCTTACGGTCTTATCACAGAGCACCGCGGAAGAGCATTTAATGAAAAGTTCACGCCTCCTTCCCAACCGATGTCGCAAAACTTGCCCAGAGGTGGGGTTTGAACCATGGATCTTACGTTTCTGACGCAAGTGCGCTACCACTGCGCCACGGCTGTTTATGTGTGCGTATTTTTATGGCTTTTGACTGTATTTTGATATATTTTATAGATTTATAAAAATATATCAAAAATATATATCGAAAAAGGTATTTTTATAGTTTTGATTATCAGTGTCAAGAAAATTTATTCATACAAATGTTTACGTTTACAAAAATATATTATTAACAAATAATACATTTATGCAAACATACATATAAAAAAATGTAGATGTATAATACAAAAATAAGCATTTACTAAAAGTTTTATTTTTATAAAACTACTTGTCTAATAAAAAGCAGTTTGTTTCTTATGATTGTGGTAAAACTGAAAAGAAGACAATCACTTGTGGAGTTCCTCAAGGATCCATTTTAGGACCGCTTTTGTTTTTAATATACATTAACGACTTAAGCAAACCTTCGAATATTTTAAACTCTATTTTGTTTTTGACGACACCAATTTATTTTATTCACATAGTAGTATAAAAACCCTATTTAAAACCGTTATTTAAAATAGAAATGTTAAAAGTAAATGAATGGCATAATACAAATAAATTGTCATTTAACCAAAGCTATGTATATTTTTTTCATCGCTTTTATCAGAGAGACAAAATTCCTCTAAAGCTCCCAAATGTTAGCATTGGGAATCAATTTATAAAAAGAGAACACTTAATGAAGTTTCTAGGAGTTCTTCTTGACGAAAATGTCACATGGATAAACCACATGAAATTGATCGAAAATAGAATTTCTAAAAATAATGGCTTAACGTTTTAAGGTAAAACCTTATCTAATTCAAATTTGCTTAAAATATATCTACTTCACTTTTATTCATTGTTGTTTTTTTTATTTTTTTTAATTTTTTTATTTGTCATTAAAAAAAAGAATACAATGCCGTGTTATATAAATAAAATCTACGTGACCGGGGCTAAAAGAAGACAATATTTGCCTTATCACTACACCCCGATTTTTCAATTTTTTCAATTATGTCAACATTGGTTGGTGCAGCACCAATAAAAAAAACTAAACAAATTATTCAACAAACAAAAACATATCATAAGATATCCAATCAATAATATCCAACGCAGACCGTCATTCTCATTCACAACCACTACTTATTAATCCAAAATTTTTAAATATTTACTAAATAAATATATATCATCATTTAATTTTTATGTATAAAATCTATATCGATACGATGCCAAATATTTTTAAAACGCTATTTAAAAAAATACAGCACTATTATATTACTAGACATGCAAACAATAATTATATTCACTGATGTTTTTAACGAATCCTTAAAAAAGGGCATAATTAAAAATGACATTTCTGATCATTTACCTGTTTTCTTTTCTATAAATATAGATAATAAATTACTTTCTAATGAAAAGCGAGTTTTCAAAAAGCGCATATTTAAAAATGACAACCTTGAATCTTTTATAGAACAATTATCTCCAATTGATTGTAGTATTTTTAACACATCTGATGATACAAAATTAGTTTATAACATATAATTATCTCATAGCTAAAAGTATTAACTCGCCTTAGAATACAAAGGGTTTGCTGAAGTCTTCAAAAACTAAACAAAAATTATACATTAATTACTTAAAATGTAAAACAAATGAAATCAAATTTATTTATAAAAATTACGCTAAACTTTTTGAAAGCCTTAAGAAAAAACAAAACAAAAAGAAATTATTTAAATTTATTCGACAAATATAAATTAAATTTTAAACGCTCTTGTTTTATTATAAAAGAATTTACTGGCAGCAAAAAATGTACATCTCACTCTTTGCCAAACACGGATAAACATAATAATAAATTTTTATATGATAAAAGACAAATTACGTAAGAATTTAATAAATATTTTGTCTCTGTTGGACGAAATCTTGCAAAAAGAATTCCAATAGTTAAGCGTTTAAAGAATGATCTATGTTTCCTTCTAAACTCTTACTTAAACTCTTTTAAATTATCTTTTGAAGAGTTTGCAATTGCTTTTAAAATGTTAAAATCTAACAAAGCAGTTGGCTCTGATGGTATTAATGGCAACATTACTATAAATTCATTTGATGTTTTAAAAGATTTACTCTTTAAGATTTTTTCAATGTCAATTAAACAGGGAATATTTCCACAAGCTCTAAAATTAGCAAAAGTCATACCAATATAAAAAGGTGGTGATATTGAGAATATAAGTAATTATCGTCCCATTTCACTAATTTCTTTATTCTCGAAAGTTTTAAAAAGAATTTTGTACAATAAAATTTATAATCATCTTACTATAAACAATTTATTATACAGCAATCAATATGGATTCCAAAGAAACAATTCTACTGAACATGCCATTCAACAATTTACAAGAAATATATCTGATTCATTTGAAAAATCTCAATTTACATTAGATGTTTTCATTGACTTGGCGAAAGCTTTTGATACTATTGATCACAAAGTTATTTTTAAAAAGTTGGAGTGGTACGGAATTACTGGAAATATATTAAAATGATTAAAAAGTTACCTTAATAATTGAAAATAATTTGTTTATGCGGATGATAACATATCATCTAATTTGTTAAGTATTTCACGTGGAGTTCCTCAAGGATCTATATTAGGACCTCTCCTATTTCTAATATATATTAATGATCTACCAAAAGCTTCAAACCTAATCATCAGCAAACAGTTAGAATAATTAGTAATAAGTTAGAATCATCAGTGTTTGCTGATGATTCTAACTTATTTCTTTCTCATAATAACATTTCTACACTTTTTAACAACATAAACATTGAACTGGAGAAAATTTCCAAATGGTTCAGATTAAACAAACTATCATTAAATATTGATAAAACTAAATGGATTCTTTTTCATTCTTATAGTAAAAAGCACCAGCTGCCAAGAAACTTACCGCTTCTTTTTATCGATAACATAATTATTAAAAGAGTTTCAGTGACAAGATTTTTAGGCGTATATATCGATGAAAATCTCACATGAAAAAGCCTCATTACTAACTTGTGCAATAAAATTTCAAAGAGTATAGGCATTTTATACAAAATAAGAAACGTTCTTGATAAGCATACCTTAATTAAGTTTTATTATTCGTTAATTCATTGCTATATTAACTATGCAAACACTGCTTAAGGTAGCACTTATAAAAGTAAACTTAAACCTCTTTATCGGCAACAGAAGCAAGTAGCACGCCTTATAAATTTCAAGGACTGTTTTTCTCACGCCAAACCTTTTTTATATGATTTGAAAGTACTCAATATATATGAGTTAAATGTTTTTAATATTCTTTGTTTTACGTATAAATACAAGACCCACCTATCACCCGTTTCTTTTCTTGTATTTGTATTTGTTAAACTTGTATTTACTTTTCTTGTATAGTATTTATTGAACTTATATTTACAAAACGATAGAAATAAATATATTTTAAGGAACGATAACTTAATTCGACAACCATTTTCTTAAACTAATTTTCGATATTTCTCAAGAATGTAATTTTGATTCTTTTAAACAAAATCTTAAAAAACTCGTTTTTTCAACTGAAAATATACTAATCTACTTTTAAATTTTTGAAAACCGCTTATCTATATTAGTATATGTATTTTGTATAACCTACATTCTTTTTTATTTCTTTATTCATTATTTTATCAACAAACAATTATTAAACATGTTAAATGTTTAATCTAGTGAATTATTTGACATATTTTAGTTTTTAAGTTTTGGAACTCTTCTATTGTGATATTGTATGTTTACTTTTAACTTAATTTATAATATTAAATTACTTTTTATTCATTTTGTAAAAAAAAGAAATTGAACAAAATTAAATAAATAACAAGAATAGAAAAATTGAAAATAATAATAATAAAATAATAACAATAAAAAAAATAGGCAGAAGTATTATATATATATATATATATATATATATATATATATATATATATATATATATATATATATATATATATATATATATATATATATATATATATATATATATATATATATATATATAAGAAAAAGAAAATAAAAAAGATTGGATGTATGCGTATCTGCCAATATATGTATGTAGGCCACGTTTGAAGGTGAACCATCCTTTGGCAGTGGCTAGGCGCTTTTGTCATTAGAAGAGTAAAAGGTAATTTATATATTTGGCAGTGATATGGCGTTTTTGCTGTCAGAAACGTAAACGGAAATTTGGTAACTTGGCTAAATACACAGCGATAACCATCGTATCTAGGTCCTTTTGCACAACCTTTTGAACGTTCTGGAAATGTACTTTATTCAGTCTGGAAATAGGATTACATTGGTTGTATGCAGTAATATATATTGAATAATATGTAGCAATTAATAATATTCAGTGATTATTTTCGACAATATAAATTCAGTGCGCGCAAGAGATTTATTTAGAAAATTATGAACATTATTATTCACATTAATCAGCTTTTTGGAAAACACAGTCATTTGATTGATGCAAGGCGTAAACAACACAACAAAAGAAGAATCCATTAAAAAAAAAAAAAATGTTCTATTTTATTCAAGCTAAAACTCACTTAGAAACCACTAAGTTTTCAATCACAGTTAGAGGCCCCAAATTATGGAGTATAGTAAAAAAAAATCAAAACGC